AGTTTTACAAACAGTTACATCCTAGTTTTATTGTTCTCCATGTATTCGCTGGAATTCTTCCATGTGGAAGGGAGTCTTTTTAAAGATAGGGTAAGTGGAGTCAGGGGCAGGACACTGTTGGTCTTACTAAGCTAAGCCAAATGCAACAATGATGTTAAAATGCAGGAAGGCTTTTTTGTTAAACCTAGGAAAAAGCATGTTGTCTACCAGATCCGTATTTCTCTTTCTGGATATCCAAAGTGATTATTCAGATTTAGATAGGATTTCCTCATTTCTCTGCCTTTTTTCTTCTTTTCTTACAATTTTTTTTTTTTTTAAGTCTTCTTTGTTGCCTGGGCCAGAGTGCAGTGGCGCGATCTCAGCTCACTGCAACCTCCGCCTCTTGGATCCAAGCGATTCTCATGCCTCAGCCTCCCCAGTAGCTGGGATTGTAGGTGCCTGCCACCATGCCCAGCTAATATTTTTGTGTTTTTAGTAGAGCATGTTTCAGCATGTTGGCCAGGCTGGTCTCGAACTCTGGACCTCGAGCAGTCCTCCTACCTCAGCCCCCACAAAGTGCTAGGATTACAGGTGTGAGCTACCACTCCTGGCCACCACTTTTTTTCATCAGCTACTATATCAGGTCTCCCAGCAGAAAATCTCCTCTGAGCAAATCAGTTTCCAGGTTTGTTTTTTTGTTTTTTTGAGACTGAGTTTCGCTATTACTGCCCAGACTGGAGTGCAATGGCATAATCTTGGCTCACTGCAACCTCTGCCTCCTGGGTTCAAGTGATTCTCCTGCCTCAGCCTCCCGAGTAGCTGGGATTACAGGCATGTGCCACCACACCTGGCTACTTTCTGTGTTTTTAGTAGAGATGAGGTTTCACCATGTTGGCCAGCCTGGTCTCGAACTCCTGAACTCAGGTGATCCACCTGCCTCGGCGTCCCAAAGTGCTGGGATTGTAGGCATGAGCCACCACACCCGGCTGCAGGTTTTTTCGATTAGTTTTTTAATTATTATTGTCAGCCCTGAAATAAAAAAAATAGGGATTAGAATATCTGCCACTCCCATTCTGTCTTGCAAAATCTCCATCACACAAAAGGTTGGGTTTCAGGAGTTGGCTGCTCAGCTCTAGGGATCCAGTAGTGGGACATGGGTCTTTATTCTGTCTCTGTGGAATCTGGAGCCCAAGCATGGGGATTATCAGTGAATTGAAAGGAGCTGTGAATTCCCTCCTGAAGGAGGGATGTCAACCGCATATAGATCCTGGTGGCCGTACGTCCTCACTTAGCCAGCAACTCAGTTCTTTGGAGCCCAGCAGCAAGAGGTGAAAGGGGCTGTGAGCCAGCGTTTCCAGGACAGCCCCTGCAGCTGTGGTCAGAGAGTCAGGAACAGGGGGCTGGACAGGCCTATTGAGCGAGTTGTCTCTGTCCCTCTTCTCATAAACACATCTGCATAACAGGACAGATAACGTGAATCTATCATCAATGGGCTTCCCATGTAGAGAGGACATCTAATAACCTAATCTTCCATCAAGAGAGTTCTCCTTTTCAATCTAGTTACCCTAAGGAACAATTCGTATAGAAAAGACAGAATCAAGATTTTCACATTTCCACCCCACTTTCTGTACCCATTTAAAAAATAAAGCATTTGGGGCTGGGTGTAGTGGCTCATGCCCGCAATCCCAGCACTTTGAGAGGCCGAGGCTGGTGGATCACTTGAGGTCAGGAGTTTGAGACCAGCCTGGCCACCTTGGTGAGGCCCTGTCTCTACTAAAAATGCAAAAATTAACCGGGTGTGGTGGTGCGTGCCTGTAATCCCAGTTACTCAGGAGGCTGAGGCAGGAGAATCACTTGAACCTGAGAGGCAGAGGTTGCAGTGAGCCAAGATTGCACCACTGCACTCTAGTGTAGACAACAGAGCAAGACTCCATCTCATACAATAACAACAACAAAAACCATTTTGAACATATAGATTTAAATATATTTGTCTTTCAACCCTTTTTGGGGTATTGGGGTGATGGACATGCAATTATTTTTCTTATTGATATTCAAACTGTCTCATATTTGACCAGCTAGAACCCTAGTATAATATTTTGGTATGCAATTTTCTAGACTTTTAGAAATGTACACACGAGCATATAAAATGAAGACAAATATTTTATGACAAACATTTTAATCAGCTTTATTGAGGCATAATCTATATAAAGTAAAACTCACCAACTTAAATTCACGTTTTTTTAAGTGTATAGCTTGAGTGAGTTTTTTCAACTTAAAAGCTTTATTTCTTAATTGACAAATGATCATACATGTTCATGGGGTCTATAATGGTTTTTTTAATTGGTTGGTTGGTTGGTTGGTTGGTTGGTTTTGAGACAGGTTCTCACTCTGTCGCCCAGGCTGGAGTGCAGTGACTTGATTACGGTTCACTGCAGCCTTGACCTCCTGGGCTCGAGCCATCTTCCCGCCTTAGCCTCCTGAGTAGCTGGAACCATAGGCATGTGCCACCATGCCCGGCTAATTTTTAATCTTTTGTACAGAGACAGAGTCTTCTTAAGTTGCCCAGGTTGGTCTCGAACTCCTGGCCTCAAGGGATCCTCCTGTCTCAGCTTCCCAAAGTGCTGGGATTACAGGTATGAGCCACTGAGTCCAGCTCTTAGTAACATTTTGATATTAATACATATAATGTGTGGGGAGATAAGATCAGGGTAATTAGCACTTCCATCATCTCAAGCAGTTACCATTTCTTTTATTTACTTTGCTACTTCCTATGTGATGACATTTATCTCTTTGTGTTGGGAACATTCAATGTCCTTCTAGCTCTTTGAAACTATGTAATAT